TAGGATAGAGAATCCACAGATTAGTATTTCTCAGTTTTGGCCACTGTACGATGCATGGACTTCAACTCCCAGAATTCCCCAGACAATATGGCTGTTAGCAACCTCAGCTACTTTAAAACATGTGGACTTCGATTCCCAGAATTCCCTAGCCAGCATGGCTGGCTGGGGAATTCTGGGAGTTGAAGTCCATCCATCGTACAGTGGCCAAAACTGAGAAATACTAATCTGTGGATTCTCTATCCTAGATTTCTGAACTCTTCACACCCAAATCAATTTCTGCTGTTCTAACGGTGGCCCACAACTCTTGGTCCAGTTTTGGGGTGAAACCTGACCCCACCCTGGGCACGAAGTCTCAATTCCGCCCGGGTGTCCCCCAAAATTTTTGCAGCACCACCACCGCCGGTGCTTCCGCTCTTCCCGCTCCTCATATCTTCCCGGCCATATACATGCAGAGCGCGTCCCGGACCTTCTCTGACCGCGTGGCGGGTTTAATGCGTGTATCGGGGCGCTGCAGTGGCTGTTCGAAGGTGGCGGCCAGCTGCCTGGCCTCCGCCTCCCACTTGTCCTCGTAGGCCTCCCCTTTCTCCTCACAGATGTTGTGTAGGACGCAACAGGCCGAGATGAGGCGGGGAAGGTTCTCCACCGCACAATCGTTGCGTCCCGTCAGGCAACGCCACCGGCCCTTCAGGCGGCTGAAGGCTTCTTCCAAGGGTTCCTGGCACCGCCGCAACGTGGCGTTGAAGGCCTCCTTGGTCTCATCCAGACCGTCGGCGTAGGGCACCATCAGCCACGGAAGGAGAGGGTAGGCCGGCCCTCCTAGGATGACCCTAGGGATGGATACGCCATCGATCTCTACCGCACCGGGAGCGAAGAGGGTCCCTTCCTGACCTTTGGTGAACAAGGTGGACTTGTTGAAGATTTTGGCTTCATGCGTCTTGCCGGGCCACCCCGCGCTGAGATGGGTGAACTTCCCTCGATGGTCCACCAAAGCTTGCAAGGCCATGGAGTAGTAGCCCTTTGTGTTGACGTACTCCGACGCTTGGTGAGGAGGACACAGGATGGGCATGTGGCTGGTGCCCACCACGCCGGCGCAGTTGGGGAACCCCCTCGCCTCAAAACCGCGGACGATCTCTGCCAGGTTGTTCCCCACGTTGACTGTGGAGCGCATCAGGACCCTCTGAATGGCCCGGCAGACTTCCAGCACCACTGAGCCGGCGGTGGACCTGCCGACGCCAAATTGGTTACCAACATCGCGGTAGCAGACGGAGGTGGCCAGCTTCCAGAGGGCGATGGCCACCCGCTTCTCCACGCTCAGCGGGATCCGCATGCGTGTCTTCTGGCGCTGCAACGCCGGAGACAGCCGGGCGCAAAGGTCCAAGAAGGTGGCCTTGCACATCCGGAAGTTCTGCAACCACTCGCTATCGTCCCAGGTCTCCAGGACTGTCCGGTCCCACCACTCGGTGCTACGCGGGCGAGCCCAGAAGCGTCTCTCCACCGAACGCAGCCGTCCGCCGCGCCGGAAACCAGCACTGCAGGTCTGCCTGGCCAGGAAGACCTCTTCCGCTTCGGCATCCTCTTCTTCCTCGCCTTCCTCCTCCTCCTCCTCCTCTTCCTTCTCCTCCCCCAGCTCGTCTTCTCCCTCCTCCTCCTCTCCTCCTCCTGGCCGCCGTAGGGAGCGCAGGAAGGCCCACCGACGGCGAGAGGCCGCGGCCGAAGACGCTCCCCCACGGGCCCGTAAGTACTCCATCATCAGCGTGCCGGATTGCACGACGTACCACAGAGCGGCATCCCGCTGGGCAGCGTCCATGCTGGACGTCGCTGGAAGAGAAGAAGAGAAATGAGACTTTTTAAAAATGGCTGCTTCTCTTTCTCCTTGTAGGCTCCTCTGGCTGGCTGGCTGGGGGATTCTGGGAGTTGTCCACCCAAGTTGTCAGGTTGGAACAACATAAACCATTAAAGCATTGTCTTAAAAGTCTTTTGTTTTCTTTCCTTTTTTTCTTTCTTTCTCTCTTTCTCCCTCCCCCTTTCTCTCCTGTATTCTATCCTTCCTTTTTTCCTCTTTCCTTTCTTTCTTTATCTTCTCTCCTTCCTTTTCTTTCTTTTTTTCTTTTTTTCTTTCTTTCTCTTTCTTCCTCCCTCTCCCTTTCTCTCCAATCTACTCTCCTTCCTTTTCTTTCTTTCTTTTTCTTTTTTTTCTTTCTCTTTCTTTCTCCCTCTCCCTTTCTCTTCTTCCTTTTCTTCCTTTCTCTTTCTTACTTTCTCTTTCTGCCTCCCCTTTCTCTGCTGTATTCTATCTTTCCTTTTCTTTTTCTCTTTCTTTCCCCCTCTCCTTTTCTCTCCTATCTTCTCTCCCTCCTTTTCTTTCTTTCTCCCTCTCTCTTTCTCTCCTACCTTCTCTCCTTCCTTTTCCTTTTTCTTTCTTTCTTCCTCTACTCTTCTCTCCCTTTTTTCTCTTTCCCCCCTTTCTTTCCTTCTCCCTCCCCCTTTCTCTCCTGTATTCTATCCTTCCTTTTTTCCTCTTTCCTTTCTCCTTCTTTCTGTCCTATCTACTCTTTCCTTTTCTTTCTTTCTTTCTTTCTCTCCCTCCCTTTCTCTCTTCTTCCTTTTCTTTCTTTTTCTTTCTTACTTTCTCTTTCTGCCTCCCCTTTCTCTACTGTATTCTATCCTTCCTTTTCTTTTTCTCTTTCTTTCTCCCTCTCCTTTTCTCTCCTATCTTCTCTCCTTCCTTTTCTTTCTTTCTCTTTCTTTCTTTCTCCCTCTCTCTTTCTCTCCTACCTTCTCTTCTTCCTTTTTCTTTCTTTCTCCCTCTACTCTTATCTCCCTCTTTTTCTCTTCCCCCCCTTTCTTTCCTTCTCACTCCCCCTTTCTCTCCTATTTATCTATCTTCCTTCCTTCCTTCCCTCCCTAACTCTACCCTACCCCCCACACCCATCCCACCGTATCTCCTTCTCCATCCCACCACACTGTCAACATCTGGTAACATTTATTTTATTTCAAAAACCTGGAATGAGGTTTTTGAGGCCTACAGCGTGGGGGGGGGGGAAGTGAGTGGCCCCAAGAATAGTTAAGAAGAGTCTCAGAGGTCATCTAGCCCAACCCCATCCCCAGAGTAACCATTACAGCCCCTTGCAGCAGCCCTCCCCAGGATCTTATCCAACTGACTTCTACGCAGGACCAGGCCACCCAACTTCGGGTTGACTCTCCTTGACCCCAGGCTCACCAATGACCGTCCTTCCTCGAAGGGTTGTTGTAGGATGCCCTGATTAGAAACTCTTTTCGACTGGATTGCAAACTGCTACAGATAGCTCTAGAAAGAGAACCTGCCCTCCCTCCCCTTATTTTAGAATAGACTAGACTAGAAAATATGGAATGGAATGGAATAGAATTCAGAACTAGAATAGAATAGAATAGAATGCAATACAATAAGGAATGGAATTCACAACTAGAATAGAATATATGGAATAGAATAGAAATAGAATAGAATAGAATAAGGAAGAATAGAATTCACAACTAGAATAGAATATATGGAATGGAATAGAATTCAGAACTAGAATAGAATAGAATAAGGAATGGAACGGAATTCAGAATTAAAATACAATACAATACAATACAATACAATAAGGAATGGAATGGAATTCACAACTAGAATATAATATATGGAATGGAATAGAATTCAGAACTAGAATAGAATGGAATAGAATAGAATAAGGAATGGAACGGAATTCAGAATTAAAATACAATACAATACAATAAGGAATGGAATGGAATTCAGAATTAGAATAGAATATATGGAATAGAATGGAATAGAATTTAGAACTAGAATAGAATGGAATAGAATAGGAATAGAATTCAGAACTAGAATAGAATATATGGAATAGAATAGAAATAGAATAGAATAGAATAAGGAAGAATAGAATTCAGAACTAGAATAGAATATATGGAATGGAATGGAATAGAATTCAGAACTAGAATAGAATAGAATAGAATAAGGAATGGAACGGAATTCAGAATTAAAATACAATATAATACAATACAATAAGGAATGGAATGGAATTCACAACTAGAATAGAATATATGGAATGGAATGGAATAGAATTCAGAACTAGAATAGAATAGAATATATGGAATAGAATAGAATTCAGGACTAGAATAGAATAAGAAAAATAGACTAGAACAGAATAGAATAATAACTTTATTCTCACTTAGAATGTATACTAATCGGCCTACATTAAAGTGAAATTGTCATTTGTGGCATGCAGCTCTCAAAGGGTCACCCCCTCCAATATATACTACCTCCTACAACAGAATAAATAAATACAGAATTATGCATATAATGCAGAATTATGCATAGCATTTGAGATTGCAAAGCCATGCAATTCCTCCTCCCATCGGGCTTCTACCCGCTTCACACAACCCCCTTCTTCTACCTCCGCCATCTCTCTTTTGCAATTTTTTTCCCCATCCCTCTTTTTATTTTATTTTTTTGCAAACATAGCCAAGCATTGAAACAAACCTTCGGGTAAATCGATGTTCCAGGACCTGGGAGAAAAAGGAGGGAAGGGAAAAAGAAAGTCGGAAGGAAGCTGGGGGAGAAAGAGAGAGAGAAAAAATCGGATTTATTTTTGCACAGAGAAAAAAACTCCAGCCTGGCAATTCAAGGGTTAACCCGACCCGGGGAAAGGGAGGGGTCGGAAAAGCTGGAGCGAGGAGGAAAGACTCCGCCCACTTCTCCTAAGCAACGGGCCTGGCCCCGCCCACACTTCCAACCCTCGCTTTTTGTTCCCTGAATGTGCCCCGAGCGAGGAAAGAACGGGATATGCAAATGAACAGCGACGCCATTGGCTGGGCGGCCTCCCCCCCC